AAGAAGTTTAAGTTTAAAAAACTTGGCTCTCAAAAGAAATCTCAATCGTTGTACTGTTGATTGATATTTGGCTCTGTTGACTAATGTGTTTGCTGACCACTGACCTAGACCTAGGTGTCAGCAGGAAGAGTAATGAGTGGATGGATGGGCACTGTGCAGCCAGGCTTTATATGGTCATGTGTTCAGGCTCCAAGTCCAATGGGAGGGCGGCAGAGGGGAAAGAAGGGATGCTTGGGACCATATGCCCTTAGCACAGAGAGAAGTATACCACCTGCAACCTTCTGTTCTCACCCTAATGATTTTTTTTAAGAGCTTCATAGCCATTAGAAGAATAAGTAAAAAAGAAAGAAAGAGCTGAAACCGGTTTGGCTCAGTGGTAGAGCATCGGTCTGTGGACTGAAAGGTCCCAGGTTCGATTCCGGTCAGGGGCATGTACGTTGGTTGGGGGCACATCCCCCGGTAGGGGGTGTGCAAGAGGCAACTGGTCGATGGTTCTCTCTCATCGACGTTTCTAGCTCTCTATCTCTCTCCCTTCCTCTCTGTAAAAAAAATCAATAAAATATATTGTAAAGAAAGAAAGAAAAAAGAAATATTATAATTTACCAAATTAAAAACATTTTCTGGAGCCAGCCAATAGGCCCTCATGCCAAGAGAAGTTGGATACACTGTTGGGTGTAGTATAATAGAGACAACCCAGGCACAGAATGGGAAGTAGCTGGCCTTGGCTAGGAGAGGGCCACTGGTGACAAATTCTTCCTCAAGATCCGCCACCTGTTTTTCCTTGGGAGCTGCTGAAAAAGCACAACGGAGAATGTTCTATATCCTAATAGAATCCCAGTGAGTTTAGGACATGCCCTGCATCTTGGACACCTCGGGGTTCCATCCCCCACCCCCATTTCCACGCCTCTTCCCACGGGTCATCTTTGGCTCTGGGAAGGATGGTACTGTTAGTCTGCTGGAAACTCCTCTAAAAAATTGCAGTTCTGACCTCCTAATGCCATCGTCTCTGCATGTGAGCTTTGGTCTGCTGAGTGAGACCCTTTGCAACTCAAACAAGGCTACTGCCCAAGTCCACTGTGTTCTCTGAGAATTGTTTCCTCATCTCTTGGTGACCCACCAGAGGCATCACAGGGTGCAGAGAAAGTAGATTAGCACTGGAGCCAGCTAGGAATGCTGGCTTCTCTGCTTACCAGCCCTGTGACTTATGCCAAGTCTACTAGCCTCTTCAGGACTCAGAGAAGCGTGGCTATTGTCATGCGATGATTAAAATGAAAAGGAATGTCTGTAAACCACTATCACAGTGCCTGTCACTACTGTGGGCTCATTCCCCAGCAGGTGTTTCCTTCCAGAGATTGAGGGCACGTTGTCCCCTGTCCTGTTATTTACTCACATTGCTCTTTCTGGGTCTGAGATGTTGAACAAGAAGCATCCCTAGGGTTTGCTCTAAGAATGACTGGCCCATAAAAGAAGCCAAGAGGCTTGGGAGGGTGCAGCTGCTGAAGCTGCAGAGCCCCCACCAGGCTGCTATGTTTATTATTCATTAACAGCCGCTCAGTAAAATGTGGGCAGAGGCATTCCAGAAGATAGGAGTAATAGGAGGGAGTGTGAGATGGTGTGCCCCCATCTCAGCATTAGCACTGTCCACCACATCCAGGCAGTGTTGATTTCTCCACATACTGGGTTTGCATTTTGGGATAAGCCACAGGCAGAGAGCTTCTTTGGTCATTTCCATTGATGAGAAATAGTGGAGGAAGAGAGGGTGCTTTTGACGTTAGCTTGCTTTAGTTTTCCCGTGGCTCATAAAGGGGCAGAGATTTGGGGAAAGAAAGCAAATGTTTTGGCTCCTGCGCTTCAACCCTCTCTTCTGATGACAAGTAAAGGGAGTCATGTTCTCTGCATTTTGCCACTTGGTTAAATTATAAAATACGCTTTTCCATGAGCTACCAGTCCAATAGACTGAAGTCCTCAAGGAAAGTTTATAGATATGGGGACATGGAAAGTGAATATAGAGACAAAAGGATAAGAATCTTATATCAGCCTCAATCTGTTTATAGTGTTTGCTTTTGGGCAAACTTGACAGCGAAGGCTGGTCTTTCAAAGAACTTGGAGGAGCCCTCATAGACACGGGACTACTTGCATTGCTGGGGAGGAGGGGGGGAAGGCTACTGCCCCTTATGGTCCTTATTAAACACTGCATTACCAATTGAACTTAGTGAGTGAGCCGGAGGGGGTGTGTTGGGGAGGTGGGAGGAGAAAGCCCCTTGAGAGGGCGTGCATCAAGCCTGCAGGAGGTGTAGACTGTGGTATTGGAATGGCAAGCATTTTCGAGGAAGAAATTCTGAGAAAGCAGTTTCTAAATATTGAATTGGCATTTCCCCGTGCCTGTTCTTGGAAGTGTTTGTATTTGGCCTACAAGCTTACTGTGCAAGGAATAACCATAGAAGGTAGCCTGTGACCAGCTTCAGTTGAGTTCTAAGAATTCATACATCAGGCATGGTCATTGGAACAGAAGTTTTCATGGGAAGTAACAATGAAGATGGCTATGTAGGGGGTGAAGATGAGGTTGAGAGGTGAAGCATTTAAAGACTCAGTGGTGAAAATAGCTGGTCTAGAAGCAAGAGGATTTGCTGAGGAGAAACATTTTAAAATGGAAGCACTGAAGAGGTCATCATCTGCAACCTCTCATTTTACGTAGGGTGACCTTTAAGAGGTAAAAGGTCATGAGCCTGTGTTGTGGAAGCCTCAAAAGACAGGCAGTATAGAGCTTAGGTGCTGGGGTGCCTTGTTGGAAACCAAGGAAATAGTGAGAGGGCTATTTATGGAAAATGTAATTTAGGGGCATGTGTTCAAATTGTTAAATCTTGTCTTTTTAAAAATTAAATTTATTGGAGTGGCATTGGTTAACAAGATTATGTAGGTTCTAAGTGTGCATTTCTATGATACATGATCTGTATATTGAATTGAGTTCACCACTCAGAGTCCAATCATCTCCATCACCATATATTTGGTCCTCTTTACCCTTTACTTCCCACATTTTCTGGTAACCACCATACTGTTGTTTGTGTCTAAGTTTCAGTTTTATATCCTACATATGAGTGAAAGCATATGGTTCTTAGCTTTCTCTGACTGACTCATTTCTCTTCGCATGATATTCTCAAGATCCATACATGTTGTCACAAGTGGGATTACTTCATTTGTCCGTATGGCTGGGTAGTATTCCATTGTACATATGTACTATTAATACATCTTCTTTATCCAGCCTTCTATGGAAGGACACTTGGGTTTTTTCCATGACTTGGCCGCCATGTGTGAAACCCTGTCATACAGTTGTGATGTTGCCTGAAAACCCAGCATTGTTATCCTGGCTGTTGCATAAACAACACACTTGCTCTTGTCCTGTGATTGTTTTACCTTTCACTTTTCCACTCACATTCCCTTCCAACTCACACACATCTTCAGTACATGTTTCTATGTTAATACCAGGTAAAGATCAAGTGTTAGCCTTTCCAAGACTGTTTGCATTTTAACTGGGACAAAAGCTTCAAGAAAAAGTAAATGCATCTAAAAAGTAGAGTTTTGCCCTACCCGGTTTGGCACAGTGGATAGAGCATTGGCCTGCGGACTCAAAAAAAAAAAAAAAAAAATCAATAAAATATATTTTAAAAAATAAAAAGTAGAGTTTTCAGGTCTCAGTGACTTCAGATGTATGAGGCTTCCTGAAATCAAAGTGTGTTAAGAGGAACAGATTAGAAGCATGGGGCACACCTGATCACCTGATGTCTAAGAAGAGGGTGTTGGGGGGAGAGAGCTCTCTTTTTTTCTTTTTTTTCTTTTTTTTTTTAAAACTATAGACACAAAATCTCGTGGTCTGGGAGAATGCCTCTGACGGAACCAGGAAACTGGGAGTGCTGTGTTTAATCCTCAGGGCATGCAACCTTCATTTAAGCCAAACTTGGAACGCTCCTTCAAGTTCACCTGTTCATAAGTTACTTAAATGAGTTGCGGTCCCATTTCCTGCTTCTTCTCCTTAAAGTCCTTTCCTCCCAGTTTCTGTGTGCCTGGGGAAATGGGAAAGCAGCTCAGTATGAACGGTGTGCTGAGATTTTTTTTTTTTTTTTTTTGCAAAATGACCCACTTTGCAAATTCTGTTTTTATTTCACGCTTACTCCCACTTAAATTTGTCACTTCAAAAGTCTCTAGAACAATCCTTTTTTTTTTCTTCAAAAAATGTATCAGCCGAAACCAGTTTAGCTCAGTGGTAGAGCGTCGGTCTGCGGACTGAAGGGTCCCAGGTTCGATTCCGGTCAGGGGCATGTACGTTGTTTGCGGGCACATCCCCAGTGCGGGGTGTGCAAGAGGCAGCTGGTCGGTGTTTCTCTCATTGACGTTTCTAGCTCTCTATCTCTCTCCCTTCCTCTCTGTAAAAAATCAATAAAAATATATTTTAAAAAAAATGTATCAGCCTTTTTATGGAAAGTTATGCTTACGGTGAATTTGACTGTTTGCCTCTCTTTTGCATGGACTCTGCTACCCTGGGTTGTGGAGATAACAGGCCGACTTGCCTCCTGAAGGCATTCCTCCTTGACAGACTGGTTTGCTCAGATCCGAATAAACACTCCTGCCTACGGGCCAGTAGTCTGCGTGTACAAGGCACTCAGAAAACACCGCGAGCAAGCTGCGGAGAGTGACCATGAATAGCAAACTTAATTTGGTTTAATGTGTTTTGGCTTGCTTGACCTCACCAGAATAAAAATGTGCCTGCTTAAATGATTGTCTGGAGAGTTAAAAAAATAAAAATAAAATAAAACCCAGACTCATTTATCTCATTGGAAGAACCTTGGGATCGCTTTAGCAAAGGTTTAAGTCCATGTTTAATGTCAGATAGGCTTGAGAAATGTTTAACGTAGAGCTTTAATCACAGATTAGGTTATTGTGAGTTCTGAATTTTAAGAGACTGAATTACAATTTTCCCCCCCTCTTGCTACTTTTCTTTTTTCTAGACGATTGGCTGGCAACGACCTTTCTTTTATCCACCCAAAGGCCTTGTCTGGGTTGAAAGAGCTCAAAGTTCTGTAAGTAATGCAGTTTTAGAGTTTCACAGCTGGCTGTGTATTTTCTTTCTGCATAGTCAACATGCTTGGAGCGAGGTTAAGCACAGTTTCTTTTAGCTCAGGATTAAAAGGTTTAAGGAGTGGCCAGTGGGCTGGTGTGGGAGGCTAGAGGTTGATTTAGGCAAACCCAGGTCTAGATAACAAAAGTTAAAATCTGAATAAGAGGTCTTCTGACCTCTAGTGCATTAGAGTCAAATATGAGACTTTTTATGTGGCTAATACACTGAATCAAAATCATATTTAAGCTCTGCTGGTTGGGTTTTGTTTCCACATATTTTACAGCTATAAGAACATTGAATTAGCTGACCCTCATGGGAAAAGGACTTACGAGAGTTCCAAATATTGCAGTCATTTCAGAGCTAAAGGGAACCGAGGTGCTTGTGACTTTCATAGCCTGTGAGGGACCAGGACATCAATTCCCAGCAGAGGCCAGGAGTTTGGAGTATGGCAGGTTAAGGAACAGGGGTCTGACTGCCAGCCTACTCCTACCACCACTTGCTGGGTGACCGTGGGAGAGTCAGCAGACCTCTCTGGTCCAGTGAGCTAGAGGGGCCCTTTACCATCCCATTCTGTGGTTCTGACTCACATCAGATAGTTATTTGATTAATGTGACTAGGAATGGCTTTAGGCCAAAACTAGAAGGACTTCATTTTGGGCCTTCAAGCTCCAGGCCCTCGCTCTCAATGATTAAAGCTCCGGTTCTGCCCTGGCCTGCATTCCCTGAGCACAGGACTGCTGCCCCCTGAGACTCAGAGGCTCCTATCCCCTTCTGCTTTATTCCAGTTTGAAAAGGCGTAGGGATTCCAGTGGGTGCTGTAATTCCTCCCAGTTAGCTTGTTATATTTCCCAGTGAATTTTAGCTGGGTTGTTTTTTTTTTTTTTTTTTTTTTTTTTTTGCCCCAATTCTCTTGTCTTGGTGCTTTCCACCTTGATCTCTTCCCTTTCCTGTCATTGGCAATAAATTTTTTTTTAAAAGAAATGATTCTGAATTCTTCTGAGAAGAAAAATGGTTATTCACTAACCAAAAATTTCCTTCCAGAACCCTCCAAAACAATCAGTTGAAAACTGTGCCCAGTGAAGCCATCCGAGGACTGAGTGCTTTGCAGTCTTTGTAAGTACCTTCTTAGTTTTCTGCATTTTTGAATCATATGATCATCTGGCTGAAACATGTGTAAAGACCTGGAATTCCAGGGAGAGAGGGAGATTTCTCTTCTCCTCTGGGATAGAAACGGGGTTGGCCAGTTGCTGTTATGGAAATGTCCGTTGGCGAGGGAGAAGGAGGCGATTCAGTCTGCCTCTTCTCTTTTCTCAGGGGTGGGAGGGAGCTCAGGTATTCACTGCAGGGTGTCATTCCCTAGCTGGTCTGTGGGCATCACTCCCATGGGACCAGAATTGTGTGTGTACAACAGTGCCAGGGTCTTGGGCCATGAAGGTCGAGGAACAGCTATAAAGAGGTCCCAGCTTCAGGTGGTAATGACAGTCAGGACAAACTGACGCGAGTCCCTTATCTGTGGACATTGAACACACACTGGGAGTGGCCACGTAATGGCCCGTGTTGCCTTCTTCCCAAGGCCGTTTGTCCTTTTGAGGAAAGGCTGGTTTTATGTGGAGTGTTCAAGATTTCAAGTCTTGGTTTTAACCGTGCTCAGCTACTAATTTCCAAAGGTTTTTCAAATAGCCCTTTGTGGTTTTTTTTTTGTTTTGTTTTGTTTGTTTGTTTTATCCTTTCTCATATACATGCATGTGTGTATGTACATGAACCTGGAGAATGGGGATTGCTGCTGTGGTTTGAGTATGCAGACTCCCATTCTGCCTCTGGTGGGTGGATCAGGTGAGCAGCTTGGTATCACAGGGACCCTGCAAATCCACAGAAGGTTTTGAAGAAACAACTGTTTTCATACTGAATAACCAGATATTTGTTAATGACTAGAGTGCCTGCTGTGGAGTAGTGTCAAGGCTACACCACAGGTCTCTGTATCCCTGGGGTAGAAAACCAAGTTCCTGTCTTTGGGGCACTTTAGAGGAAAGAGGTGAGAAGCACTCAACTGGAGCATGTGTTTATCGTAACTTGACTCTTGCCAAGATTAAGAAAAGCCCTTTGCATATTTATGTCAGAATGTTTGCATCCCTTTCAAAAAGAAATCCAGGCAAGTTTGAATTTATTAGAACTCTGTTTGGTTTTGAATTCCCACTTTGCTATTTACTGGCTGTGTGATGTTGGCCAAGTTGTTTAAAATTCTCCATACAGTAGTTTGCTCATTACTTACCGAGTACTGGAATGTATGAAAAGGACTCAGGACAATATCTGACAGGTAGTAACTGCTCAATAAACACTGTGGAATCTTGTAATTTAAACAATGATGATGTATTTTATTAGTTTTTTTCCCCCCTTTCATTACTAGTTTACCTAGTTTGCATAACTAGGTGAAGGGAACATCTTTGAAAGTAATGAAAAAAAAAAATGCCTTCAAAACTAAGAATTTAGTTTGTTATTCTACTAGGATCATAAATACAAAGTTACAGTTTTAGCTGAAGCCGGTTTGGCTCAGTGGTAGAGCGTCAGTCTGCAGACTGAAAGGTCCCAGGTTCGATTCTGGTCAGGGGCATGTACATTGGTTGTGGGCACATCCCCGGTGGGGGTGTGCAGGAGGCAGCTGGTCAATGTTTCTCTCTCATTGACGTTTCTAGCTCTCTCCCTTCCTCTCTGTAAAAAATCAATAAAATATATATTTTTTAAAAGTTACAGTTTTAGTTCACGTCCAAATAAATACAATGTTTCTCAAAGTCTGGCTCTTAGACCATCTGTAACAGTATCACCAGGAGAAAATATCCCTAAAATACAGATCTCTAGGCCATATCTAAGAAGTAATGATATTTTCTCTTTTAAGGATCCAGGAAACTATATATCAAAAAATTTTCCCAGGTAATCTCGTGTACATAGAGGTTTTCAGATTTACTCAGAATAAAAAACTGTAATAGTTATCACATTTATGTGTTAAAAGTTATAAAATTAGGTTTTAGTCCCACCATACATGTATACACTAATCTGTTCCTTAATGGTTTTTTTTTTTAATTGATTGCCTTTTAAAATAACTATAAATGAAGCTTTTGTAGGAAATGCATGTGAACTGTAGAAGATTTAGGTGAAAGTAATCCATCGGCTTATCCCATCCACTTGCTAATATAAAACCATTTAACTGCACCCAAAACACATCCCTGGAAATGATAAATTGTAGATTAACTTTTGATTTTAGATTATCTTAATAGTTGATGGAAAGTGAATGTGAAAATAAAAATATGCATTAATAAAGCATATCCTGTGCTATAACAGTTAAACTTTACAATGCATCTAACGTCTTAGATAAAGAGAAGAGTATCTAATGTCATAAATAAGGGAGTATATGGGGTATCAACCACTTAATGTCCAACATTGGGATGAAGGGTGGGAGTGAGGAGAGGAGTCCAAACAAAATGTTTTTAAAAAGGCATCAGAATGTTTTTACGTGTATCAGAAACCTGTGGAGCTATGGGTCAGGCCTGTTGTGTTTGAGAAGGAAAAGATCTTGGGTTTGTTAGCATAGTGGGTGTAGTGGTCAAGTCAACTACCATTGAAATTCTGGTGTAACACAGTCTTATCAGCACTTGAGTCCGTTTGAAAATCTGATCTTCAGACCAGAATTACACGAAGGCGTTGCTTGTGGTTTTGAAGGAGTGCTTTACGAGGAGCAAAGTTCACGAGGGGTGGAAAAGGAACAGAAGTGGTTTGATGCAAGTAGGTGATGATGACCTTCACATCTGAAAGCGAATTGTTGCTATTAATAAACAGGGAGTGTGAATAGCCTTCCACAAAGCCCCAGCATTGCCTGAGCAGATGAAGATGACATCTCAGAATTTGCCCCACTAGATTTTTTTTTCTTAATGTTAGAACACACTTAACATTGGATATGAAAGGATTTCAAGGGCTACGTTTTCTAGATTTTCCACAGTAGCAGAATTTCTGAACTATTTTGAACTAGAACCTGGTCACAAACTATATATAGACTCGTAGGTGTTTACTGACATCGCAGACATTCATCACATAATTATTTGGTATCGTAAATTTCATTTAAGGCAACAGGAAAAACAGTGTGTGAGATGTAAAAATGTTTTTCAAACACATATTTTAAAATGAATAGTAAGGGAATTCAGTTAGCACCTTGTTAGCCTTTTAACAAAGTACACTTAAGTACAATAATAATTGTATGGAGCTTAAATGGTAGAATAGTTAGCCGATCCACGTCCTCTCCCACTTTGGGGGATATCTGATGCCATTTATTGCATCTACTGAATGGATCAATTATAGCATTTTCTTTGTCCATTAATAGGGATAAATATTAATAATGTAGGTCATTGGTACAAAGCCACAGCTCTAAGATGAATTATCAGTGAAACATTAATCTCAGTGTAAGTGCAGTTCTTGGTATTTATGGCGGCACACCCACTTGTGAATTGAGGTGTAGGGATTAACCATTTGTGTCACCACAAATCCTTTTTCTCACTTAACTTCCAGATTTCATTTTCCTGAGTTCTTTCCTTTGCTCTCGATGTATGTGTGACTTTTACAATTTGGGGGAATTGTTGGCACAGAGGAAATTGTGTCTGTGTATTTAATGTTGTATTATTATTTTGCCTAGAATATAGTAATGTATCTCTTTTAGCTCAAAACTCACCTGGCTATCTTGCTTTAAGTAAAGGCTATCCCATTTCTTTGGTGGTATAGGGCACAGAATTCTGCAGGAGCATATATGGTGTACATAACACTGGGCTTAAGTTAAAAAGGTACTGACAACATTGTTTATTACGGTATTTACTGCATCTCAAGGGAACATTTAAATGACGATTTCTCTGTGTATGCAGGGCAAACTTTGTTTTGTTGACTATGAATACATATGTTATCAATAAACTGCTCTAACACTGAGAAACTAGGGAGGCACTTCAATCTGTACTTAAAATACAATCCAAACCCCTTACCTGGCCCACAGGGGTCCACATAATCTGGTCTTATCCCTGTCTGCGTCTCTGTGGACCCCTCACTCCCTTCCTCTCACGTGCTTATCGCTCTGACCTGGAAGATGCTGGGACCACACCCAACTCCTTCCTGTCTCCTTTGCCTCTAACACTACATCCTCTTGCTCTTTCTCTAAACCCTTCCTTCTGAACCTCTGTTAACCTATATTTCAGTGGCATGTTTATTTACTTCATAGCACCTCTTAAGCACTCCATGACCATCTATCAATATTAAATTTACCACTCTGTGATCATCCCTACCTGAATGCCAGTCTCCTGGGACAGGCTTCCCCATTGGGTCTTCGGTGCCTAACGAGATGCTCCATTGAAATGTGTTGGGTGGACTGCAGATAATTAAATTCGCTACAAGTAGAATTTAATTGCACTATTCAGTTACATTATATGATTAACTGTATGATTATATATATGATCAGGGTCTCTCCCCCAGTGGAAGTTCCTTAAGGTTGTGAAATGTGTGTGTGTGTGTGTGTGTGTGTGTGTGTGTGTGTGTGTGTGAGAGAGAGAGAGAGAGAGAGAGAGAGAGAGAGAGAGAGAGAGAGAGGTTGAACACACTCCTGTATCATGAAGGCAAATCTCCTAAGCAGCTCCTTAGCCAGGACTTTGCCAGTCTGTTACATTAAAGGATGCCTGCCTCTTCTCAGGGGTAGGTTCTAGAAAGCCCAAGGAGTGAACAGGCCTAAAAATGTTTGAGTCTAAGTGGATTCTTAAGGCAGCTGCTCAGTTTCCCGAGCTCTCCCGTTGTCAGTGTCCCTTCTGTTATCTTGGTGTTATCAAAAAGAAAGCTTCCATCTGATCCTCACCAGGACCGGAGTCTTTAACCCCCTTAACCCCCGCCAACCAGGCTGCTGCTGCCCGGGGGGCTAGGTTGGGAGCGCCTCAGTCCTCGCCTGGAGGGGAAGGGGACAGTTACTGCCGGATCTGAAGCTGGAGAAGCATAGGAAACAGGAGACACAAAAGCCTCTCTAAAAGTCAGTTTCCTGAGCTAGAGAGCTGTCACACTTGATTTCTTTTCAAATTTGCTGTCATTTTGACTTTTCACCAGTTTTGTTGTTGTTGTTGTGGTTGCGCCCTAATTTTCACCAGGAGGTCCATGCCTGTGATACATCAACAAGGGATTCATGAAGGAAGTTATGATTTGCTGGGCACATACTGTCCCTTATATTAATAGCAGGTCATCTTTGTGTTGAAAAGCCATTATTCCAACAGTTACACCTGGTTGTGTCCACAGTAGCATTTGGAACTTAGTTTCCCAGATTTTCAGATGGGGACTTAATTGTAAGTATGAGTAAATCCTATTAGTAAGGTGTCCTTAATTAAAAAAAAAAATAATGGAAAAATTAAAAAAGCTTTAAAGTCACAGTAACATTGATCAGAGCAGCTGTTTCACTTTTTCTATGAACAGTTGGTCCTTTCCTTAAATAGTGCATGGCACCCATATTTTTAACTTGTCTGGTGATATTAAGGATTAAGAATCTATTAAAATGATTTGTTCCTATAAAAATTTTTCTGAAATATTTTCCTATTTCCCCAACTCCCTTGATACAAAGTCAAAATAACAATTAAATTTAATATTAGCCCTAGCCAGTTTGGTTCAGTGGATAGAGCAGGGGCCTGTGGACCAAAGGGTCCCGGGTATGATTCTTATCAAAGGTACTGTGTGTACCTTTGTTGCAGGCTCCTTCCTGGCCCGGGCCCTGGTCAAGGCTTGTGCAGGAGGCAAACAATTGATGTGTTTCTCTCACATTAATGTTGCTCTCTGTCTTTCCCTCTCTCTTCCACTCTCCTTAAAAAAAAAAAAAAAAAAAAAAAAAATTTTACATATATATATATATATATATATATATATATATATATATATCTCCATCCTTGGGTGAGAGTTAACAACAATAACAAATTTAATATTAAATATTAGTTATGATGTGAAATCGTAAGTAAAGCTTATCTTAGTTTCTTGTCGTTTCTCTGTATTTTTCTGTATTTTGAGTCATAAAATTCTGACTTAAGCCCTGTGAGGGTTTAAAAAAAAAAATCTTTCTGGTCTTTTAGCCTTAAGGATTCACATTTCTTTGTTGAAGGAAGGGAGAGAACTGACTTCCATACACTGATCTTGGAAAAGTCGTGAGACTTGGTGAGGACTTCTAGTGGGATGGAAGAAATCAGAGGTCCCAGCCCGGAGTTTTATAACGCCTTTTTGTTTGGAAACTCAGAGCTGTGTTGCTCGGATTGCCTCGTACCAGGAGGACTCCTTACTGAACGTGGATGTTTCTTTCTGCCAGGCGTCTGGATGCCAACCACATCAACTCAGTCCCCGAGAACAGCTTCGAGGGGCTCGCTCAGCTCCGCCACCTGTGGCTGGACGACAACAGTCTGACGGAGGTGCCCGTGCACCCCCTCAGCAACCTGCCCACCCTGCAGGCGCTCACCTTGGCTCTCAACAAAATCTCCAGCATCCCCGACTTTGCGTTCACCAACCTATCCAGCCTGGTGGTCCTGTAAGTATCCGCCCCATTTAATACCAGATAGTAATGTTAATGTGGAAGCACAAAACAGGTTTCTTAGTATAAAAGCATCTTACTGATGATGCTCCTGAAGAGTGAGGGTTTGGGGGAGCTGCCCTTTATACAGAATTAAAGTGATGGCTTTTAAAAATACAGAATAGGATAATTTTTTAAAATTCGTGTCTGGTAATAACTACTGAATTTCTCTAGAACATGTGACCATTTGTAACCATGAGAAGAAATTGGGTCATCAACTAACACTTGTACCGCTTTTACTTGTGTGTCAGCAGTGTATTCAATGTTAAAACAAGCAGGATTGTTTTGAGGTGCTCATACAAGAGTTTCGTTGATTTGTTTGTTTGTTTATTATTCTCATCAGAAGACATTTTTTCCTATTGATTTGATTTTGATTTTTTGAGTGAAAGGGATGGGGAGAGACAGAGAGAGAAACATCAATGTGAGAAAGACACATCCATTGGTTGCCTCCTGCACACACCTGACCTTGGCCGGGGATCGAGCCTGCAACCAGGGTACATGCCCTTGACCAGAATCAAACTCATAATCCTTTAGTCCAAGGGCCAATACTGAACCGGTTAGGGCGATATTTTATATTTTTACCAACTCGTCTATTTAAACAGTATATGATTGTTGTGTTTCTAATCTTTGAAAACTTGGATACAATAAAATGGCATTTCTTTGTAAAACCTGGTGCTGATTTTTGATGTAAGCTGACTTGCTTCCTTCCGAGTCATTTCTTCCACTTCCCGAAAGGAGAGCTCATCCAAGTTTCACTTCATATAATTAAAAGCTCATCAAAACTTTTCTTTTGATAAGGGTGCATATCAAGGGATATGTAATGTGTGCACCCTTTTCCCACTAGAGACATTTTCCTTTTTATTGGTATACTGTCCAGTGAATCTGAATCTGGAGTGTATATTGAGATAACTACCCATTGCTATTTGTTTTCCATTAGCTGAGTGTTGAAATGTTTAGCTATACCATTTTTTTTTTAATTAGTAATTGCATTTATTAGAGTGACCTTAGTTACTAAACTTCAGGTGTACACTACTATAATAAATCATTTATACATTGTATTGTGTGCTCACTACTCAAAGTCCTTCCTTCACTATTTAACCCCCTTGGCCCTCTTCGACCTCCCCTCCCCCTTTCCCTCTGGTAATCACCATACTATTGTCTATGGCTTTTTTCTTCTTCTTAATCCCTTTATCATTTTGGCCCAGCCCTACAACTCCCTTCCCCTCTAACTGCGATAGTTTGTCGCTATACCATTTCTTTCTTTTCTTATAACCTCATCCCAGGATTTTTTTTCTACTGAGTTTTAGAGAGAGTATTATAGAAAGGAGGAGGAGAGCCTAAACCGGTTTGGCTCAGTGAATAGAGCATCAGCCTGTGGACTGAAAGGTCCCAGGTTCGATTCCGGTCAAGGGCATGTACTTTGGTTGTGGGCACATCCCCAGTGCAGGGTGCACAGGAGGCAGTTGATCGATGTTTCTCTCATTGATATTTCTAACTCTCTATAAAAAAATCAATGCCCCTTCCTCTGTAAAAAAATCAATAAAATATATTAATAAAAATTTTTAAAAAAGAAAGGAGGAAGAGAGAAACATATTGTGAGAGAAACACATCCATTGATTAACTCCTGTGTCCTTGACAGGAATTGAACCTGGAGTCCTCCATCCAGGGCAGTGGTCACCAACCTTTTGGACTTATGGACCACCAGTGGTCTGCGGAGCACTGGTTGGCGAGGGCTGGTCTAGGGCCATTTCTTTAAGCCATACACATTTAGACACATAAATCATTGTAATAATTGCTATTGGGTGATATGAAAGTCATTTTGATGTGTGCTTTTTTTTTCCATAGGCACCTTCATAACAATAAAATTAAAAGCCTGGGTCGACACTGTTTTGATGGACTAGAAAACCTGGAGACCTTGTAAGTTTCATCATATTTTGGATGATCACATTATGATGTCAAAGGTACAATTTTGCAATTCATTGCAAAAAAAAAAAAAAAAAAAAGGAAAAAAATTAAAGGTCTTGCGTTCATTCATAATTAAGTTAATAGTTGGCTAAATTCTTGCCATCCAATAAAACAGTTATGAATGCTAATCTAAGTTTATAGTTAAAAATGGCACAAACGTTTGAACTTGATATTTCTTGCAAAAGTACATGTTAAAAGAAGCTCAATCTGTCAAACTGGTTTTGTTAAAATGTGTGGTAGGTAATTATGGAATTTTGAGCCTTATCAAATTAATTCTGGGAGAAGTTTTTTTGTTTGTTTTTTTCCTTGAACACAGTTGCCTGGCTGGTTAATGGTTAACATTGGGATTGAATATTATCTCAGATTTCATATGCTAAGTGTGACAAAGTTTCCCAGTTTTCTTGGGGTACATTTGTTGTTGTTTCTGCTAGTTAAAGTTTTTGGGAGTTCTGGCTGTTTCAAGTATATATTGCAACACTGAGCAAAGACATTGTGCAGCTGTGTGTAATCGAGAATAGGATCTTGATTTTTGTTGTTTTACTTCACATTAGTTGCCTTCATTTGGAGAGTGATAATATTTGCCATTGTGGTGCACTAAATGATTCAGAGTACGGCCCAATTAGATGGGTCAGTAACCTCTGATTGGAATGATTAGGGTTTTGTAATATTTTGTTTCACTGAGTTCTCTCATTAACTCTCAGTTAATTGAGAAGATCTTTGGGGCTGTGTTAACCCACTTTCCTGTCTGAACAACTAAAGGATGGTGTGAGCATCAATGGTTATTTGAAAGTTGAAGTTCTTGGTAGTTCCAAACTCAGTTCTTTTTTTCTCTGTAAACACCAGTGTAAGGGGAGAATGAATGTACCACCATGCATACTATCCCAGTTATTAGAATTGAATCTCTTCTTCCTGGTTAAATTTTTATTTGTTACTTTTATTTCTGTGTAGAAAAGGAAAATAAAATAGGTCTCTATTTGATTTTGTTTTACTCTCATTCTGAAATTTACATGCTAATCATATGCCGCCATGCCCTTAGGTGAAAAGAATTAAAATGTAAACATACTCAGAATGAGCTCTGTTTAGTACAGATCCCTGGGACATTTCTTTCTCCCAATGAATGTGACACTTCCAACAATGTGTAACTTACTAGAGGACAATAGTTATGTAAACTCATCCTGGTTCTTCTCCTTCTTCCTACTTATCATGGGCCATCTTGCTGATGGTAGGGCTGAGGTCAGCTGCCTCCAGCCAGAATTTCTGGAAGCCACTCTAACCCCCAAATGGAAATCTCAGTTGCAGGCTCTTGTCGCTTAGAAATGGATAATTTAATAAATTCTCTTTTATGGTGCTTTCCTGAGAAATGACATTCAGATGATTTGTTTGTTGAATGTACCCAGTAATGTGTGAGTGTAAGAATTCTTTAAACTTTTAAAATTGACTTAAAAATATCCTAGAAGAATTATGATTCTTTTTTCTATTCAGTACTCTAAGAAAAGGTGTAAATTCAATTAAACTTCTACCGGGGTTTGAATGGCAATATGGTTGGTAAAGAAAGATTATGACTTAGAGGAAGTGATATTTTTTTAAAAATACATTTGTACCAAAATGCCTTTTAAATTATGACCACTCTTCAATATTCTTACATATTTTCCCCATTTCCTCTCCCCCCTTTAGGGACTTGAATTATAACAACTTGGGGGAATTTCCCCAGGCTATTAAAGCCCTTCCTAGCCTAAAAGAACTGTGAGTATTGCTTTGCTGTCTTTTTCCTTACCATCCTCAGAACATTACCATGTAATGTTCCAACCATGAAATTTTTAGGACACATTTGCTCCATTACATACATTGTAATAACACATACACATAAACATGCATGATCACACAGATTGGGATATGTCAGCTGGCCTGGATAGTTAGTTCTGAATATAGATTACCCGACAGAACTATATTTTAGGGAAAGAAAAGCCGAAATGTAGGGTCTCTACCTTGTAGGAGCTTGTTGTCTTAGTGTCATTGGGGAAGCTACCACACAAGGCAGACAGACAGCAGTTTCTAGGTAGCAATAATTGCTGCGTGGATCGGATAAAGAAATCTTTCTAGAAAAATACTTCATTGAGACTTGAGGTCATTGGAAAAGGCATCCCTAAAGAGGAGAAATTGAACTGGGTTTGAAAGAATGGAAATCTATATATTAAAAGGCTATCTGTCCAACCAGTAATTATGATGCACACTGACTACCAGGCAGCAGACACTAAATGCAGAAGCTGCCGTGATGTGCACTGGCCATGTTAAAAAAAAAAAAAAAATGGCACCAGGGACCTGGCACCAACAAACCAATACTCGGCTTCCCCCAAGTGGAACACAGGCCCACCACCACCCCAGAGCGACACCCCTCCAAATTGCAGCCAATGCTGCCAAGACCACATGGTGCAAAATACGGCCCAGAGCCAGCCTAGTCCATCAATGGTTGCTGTGGGCACCAGGTAAAGACATCACACATAGCAACATCCAGTTTTCTCTTTCTAGCCACAGCTAGCCTCTTCGCAGTTTCTTTAGCCCTGGAACTCATCTTGCTTTATAGCCAGGTGGAAACATTTTACACTTTCAACAAATGTCTGTGAAGTGTTTTCCCGGCCTCATTTCATTTGATCCTCAAAGAAGTCTTGGAGGAAGTAGATAGGAGACTCAATAGAATTCCATTTTCTTTTCATTAGCCGGAAAATGGAGATTTAGAAAGCTTAGAAACTTGACCCAACTGAAAAGAAGAAAGAAATGGTGGAACTTGAAAATGACTTCATGTTTTTTCACTGTGCAGAATATAGTAAAACACTGCTACCTTTTGTTCTCCCTACATGATCTTCAATAATAATCTGCTTCGTGTTGATATTTACTGCTGTGTTGTGAACAATTACCTGAAAGAGAAGTTGGGGTGTTTCACTGGGCTGGAAAAAGCTAAATCAGAAAGCAGGTCTAATTAAACAAGTTTATTCTATATATATAAAAGGCTAAGTTGACTCAACTCAGGCATGCTCAATACATAATAAAGCTCTCACTGGCACCAATCTCATGGGGTGTGAATTAGATCATGAATTTGGTTGACATTTCTATTATAGAGAAAGGGCAAATAGTGATATTAAAATATTTCTCCTAATTAATTTCCCTTCATTGTGCATGAATCTGTGCACCGGGACACTAGTATTTAAATAAATGAAAGGGACAGAGGAGCATTTTAGAAGTTGGATTTGTCAAGGGCAATGATAGGAATGTATATAGCATAACAGAGACTGTATGTCTTGAGCCAGTAGCTAAAGCTGTACGATGAATTGCTTAAAGACTAAATGCAGGATATAGTGAGAGATGTGGGGGTCAGACATGTTATGATTCCTGTGGTCTAAAGTTCTTTGATGATGAAGGTACAGCTAAGTATAGATGAAGTCTCTGATTGATGGTAGGATAAGCAGGGATTTAAAAAGAACTATCGGGGAAAATATGAGACTTAAAAATTCAGTTTTCCCACAGTTCTGAAGTTTTCGTGTAGTTATTATCAGTTATATGCTATATAATACAGGAGTAGATACTTGGGTTTTAACTTTATTTCACAAGGGCATATGCATTTTAAAATATTTTCTCCTCTATCTTTTTAGGTTATTTCATAGTAATTCTATATCTGTTATCCCTGATGGAGCATTTGATGGTAATCCACTCTTAAGAACTATGTAAGTAGTTTTGAAAGTTTCTTCTAATACTATATAATTATGTACAGCTATCTCTATATGATGGCAAAAACCATCAGACTTAAGAATGAAAAATCAGGCTTTGAGATACACAAGCTTTATGAACATAGATTTAGTTTGGGAGTGCTTGTGAACATATGAAAACTTTGATTTTTTTTTTTCTTTTTTGCTGTTTTTACAGACATTTGTATGATAATCCTCTATCTTTCGTGGGGAACTCGGCATTTCACAATTTATCTGATCTGCATTCCTTGTAAGTATTCCATAAATTCTAAAACACACCTGAATGCTTATACAGTTGCCTTAATGGAAAACTAGACTTTATTACCATAGCTCCAGAAAACAAACTCTTTCAGTGTCTTTTCCTTGGCCCAAAGTCCAAAGGATAATTTTGAAAATTTATGATAGTTTTAATTTATGTGAACATTTGGCCAAATTTCCACACTTTCAGGTACATCCAAGAGATGAAAGCAATTTTATCTTGTAGGTCTTGTGGTGCTATCATCTTAAACTGTCTAAAAAAGAAAATGCAAATGTTGTCTATGGGAATTTTTTTATTTAAAACTACTTCTTCTCTCCCGATTTCTTAGAGTCATTCGTGGCGCCAGCATGGTGCAGCAGTTCCCCAATCTGACGGGGACCGTCCACCTGGAGAGTCTGTGAGTATGGCCCTTGGAAGACGAGTTGCATAAAGAGAGCATGCTGGCCTGCTAGTTGTGTGCCAGTGCTTTTTGGTGATGATGGAGACTTTATGTTGATGCCTACAATCTCCCTTTGTGGATAGCATGGAAATGGGTATTGAGTTTGGGCTCAGTTGGCCCAAGAAGAGTATTGCCTGGTGTGTAGAGATACAATATATGCAAAGGGCACTGGAAATATAAGGCAGTAAAGAAGTGCCAGGTCAGAAGCAGTGCTTCAAGGATTCACAAGTGGAGCGATCAATGCCGTCTATCAGAGAAGGCTTCCTGAAGGAGTTGAAATGTTTCAAAAATGAAATACTGGCAGGTTTCCCGGAGCGGGGGTTTTTATTTAGAAAGGCAGGATTTAGGTAAAGGATGGTGTACAGAAGATCACATATAGACATCTCCATTTTTACTGACCTTCTGTCTCCATTTTTGCTGCTCCGATACAGATGGAAAATGGGATGGTGCAGAGAGGGGTGGGGGCATCGCAGGCCACAGGGAAGAGCTGCAGTGGTGCCTGCATGGTGCCCCAATTGAATGGGGCGTGATACAGAGAAATTTGGAAAATTCTTTGGGTCACAAACATGAAATGACAAGCCTTGAACACTGAACGTTTGGTTTTGGCAAAGCTTCCCCGATGGATAGTCTGTAAATGGGTGACACGTGCAGCCATGGTCTTGATGACTTCAGCCCTTCAGCCCAGGTGAGGCTTGAACTGGCCAGGATCTCCAGCCACATGGAGCCTTACATCATTATACCGCACAGATGTTTTGATTTTCATGGGTTCCAAGATGTAGGAAAAAGAAGCTGGGAATCTCTGAACTAAGCAGTTTAAACTTGATTCAAGGTCATTGGAAGTGTTGGGGATAATGGAGCAGGTGGTGTGAGGAGGAATGGACTAACGATAGGAAACTTGGTGAGGAGGCCATGAGAAGGATCCACTTGGCTAAGGGAACACATTGAGCCACTGCAGCTCTCCCTGTGGCCTGAGATGCCCCCACCCCTTTCTGCACCATCCCATCTCCCATCTGTATTGTGGCAGTAAAAATGGAGATAGTCAGTCAGATGCTGGAGACACTATACTAGTAGAGGAAGAAAGAACAGGAATTGGTGATTGACTGAAAATGGCAACAGAAAGGGAGGGGGGTAAGAGACAATGGGATACTGTTGAGTCAGGTTGACGGGAAGAAAAGGCAGAAACAATGTTTGAGGGCAGGATGCGCCCAATGTTTTGAGTGGGAGTGGGAGATGGTGGGGCGGGGGCGGGTGACAGAACTTGCAGGTGGTCATGGTCAGGCTGTGACTGTGGATTGCTGTTTTTCTCTTGGTCCATGTGACAAATCAAGCTCGTTGTTGAGACAGTATTACCTCTAGTGTCATAAGCTTCTCTGATTTTACTACGGACAGTGATACTAGGGTGGAGGGTTAATTTGTCTTCCCACATGCCTAACTTGAGGGAGAATCAGGCCGTGGGATACATAGTCTCTAGTCCATTTGAAAATAAAGTGAGCATTTATTTTTCCACATGAGAACAGCATTTTTACCATCTCCACTTGAATCATTTCTTAGATGAGCCATGTTTTTCCGCAGGACCTTGACAGGCACGAAGATAAGCAGTATATCCAGTAATCTGTGCCAAGAACAAAAGATGCTTAGGACTTTGTAAGTTGGATTCTTCTTCCCTTCTCACACCTTTCTTTTATGTGCTTTATACATGTTTTCTTTCTAATGAACTATTTTTGTTAGGTGATTTTAAAGTATAATTATTTCTTATTTCCTTCATGGAAATGAGGGATCATTTTAATAGCCCAGAGTAGGTAATGTGCATTTGAATTTAGTTTTAGGGATATATGTATATATATCATCTTGTGACTTTAAACAAACTAAAATCAAGCTAGGTCCTTTCTTGATTTTTTTTTTTTTTCTTGTTCTGACTCCTTGTTTTTATTCATTTCCCCAGAAGGATCAGCTCTCCATATCCTGCTCTGTCAACCGTAGCCTAAGCACAGCCCAGATCTGTTTTAGATCAGGAACCAACTGAGCATGGAGCTTTCCAAAACCTTTAAACTGACCTAGGAATTAAAAAATGTGAAAATGTCACAAGAACAAATAATTAAGTTAATAAGTTGTTAATAAGTATTCAGTGGAAAGATATAGTAACAAAAATAAGTGACTAATTGATTAAGCAGGTAATTAAATGGTGTCATGGAGTATCAAGCCTGACAATTACCAATAAGAAAAAACTTCAGTGGGATTAACGAGATTCAAGTAGTCTCAATACTTGACTTAATATGTTTTTAAAAATATGACTACCACTCTTCTTATAGCTTTTGAATGAAATAACATAGAAATTATTTATGGTGTAAACAATATTGTAAAATAGAATTTAAAAAAAACCCATAAGTCTAGGACTTATGCATGATTTTTATATATTCCACATTTTTATATTTAATTTTGTTTATGTTACATAGCATTTTAAAATATATTTTATATTGTTTGTAGTCAACAGTATGTACTTGAAGTTTGCAAATCTTAAGCCTATTGTATCACTAGGTGCTTTAGAAGCTTACAGTCTTAGAAAAAAATATAGCTGCTTTTCTTGTTATTTCTTTATTACAGATATTAGCACTGCTTTCAATGCTTCTAAGTATAGCTCTTTTAATACAGTTTTCTGATAACATTAATTTTTCATTTCCATTGTTTTAAGGGACTTGTCCTACAACAATATAAAAGACCTCCCAAGCTTTAATGGTTGCCATGCTCTGGAAGAAATGTAAGTTGCTCTTTGACTTACTCTTCTTGCTGTGTGGTGTATTGTTACTTCATCAAGCATTTCCTATTTTAAATAAATGGCTTTACTATTAAGAAATTAGATATTCATGTAATCAGGTGTTCTTATGAATAAATGTCCCATTGTACCAGGGATGTTCATGCAACCAGTAGTTTTTAGACATCTATGTATCAGGAATTCTGTGGAGACACTATGGGGAGAGGGTGGTATATATACAAAAACACATACACTTTCTGGCTGTTGAGGGAAACCAGACATGAGTATCTACTGTGTTCCTATGTAGGACATCTTTGCCGGAAGTTGATGGGGAGGTGGGGAGAGGGAGGCATTAATTCTTCCATTTTTGATCCCCTCCTTCCTCTAGGGTACTCGGTGTGGTTGTGTTGTCTTGGATCCTTTCTCACTGTGTTGTCTTCCTGCTCCACTCCTGAGCAGAGTTGATAAGGAATTTAGATAATTACATATGCTCCCCCTCCCATATAATTTGGGATGAAATACCAATTAGCCTAACCATTTCAAGTTATAGATAAGTTTCCTTGACTTTCAACAAGATCACTGTTACTTACGAATGAATAGTTAGAAAAAGTTTAAGAAATACTATTTTTCAAATAGAAAGTAATTTTTTCTATTTTTTTTTCTTCTTCTTTTTCTACCCCTCCTTCCCTTTTCCTCCTCCTTCTTCCCCCCTTTTCTCCTCTCCTTCCTGCACTCTTTCTTACCCCTCCCCCCCAATCCTCGCCTTCCTTCTCCTAGTTCTTTGCAACGTAATCAGATCCGCCAAATCAGAGAAGGCACTTTTCAAGGCCTCATATCCCTAAGGATACTGTAAGTTTCTCTATGATTATTAGAAATGAGTACATTTTACGTCAAGCTATAATTAAACATATTAGCACAATTCCCATTTTGATAGATATACTTAAGGATCTAATGTATTATGTGTAAATACTGTCCTTTGAACGTCACTGCATGGTACTTTACTATAAATAACATATTTTCAGCATTTTTTTTTTTTACCTTAGCTTATTTCTGCTATTGTATATTGATTTAAAAAGAAGAATGTACAACCTGAGAGATGCATTTTGGTTCCAAGTCATAATAATGAGTTTATCCGTTCCTTAGGCCAGGGTTGGCAAACTGTAATTGTGGGCCAGATCCAGCCTACCTCCGGTTTTTGTAAATTAGGTTTGTTGGCACATAGCCTTGCCCCTTTTGTTTTAAGTATTGTCTGAAGCTCATTTCACCATCCTGTGGCAGAGTTCAATACTTGCAGGACAGACCATAAGACCCCCCAGAGGTGAAAAATACTTGCTTTCTGGCCTTCCACTGAAAACATTTGTTGATCCCTGCACTGGTGTCTCTGTCATGACAAAGGTGGCTAATGTGCAGCAGAAGCTAGCATTTATAAAATGGACGTGTATTTTAGCGTATATGTGTGCCAACGATGCTATGAAGCACTTGGGAATAGAGAGGTGACTGAGACAACCTGGCCATTACCTTCCTGGAGCTTCAGTGCAGGACACACACATCACTGAATCAGTGAACATTTTTTAAAGTGCAGACTACAGTCAAAGAATTGACAGTGAAGTGAACTTACATATATCGAGTCCTGTTTTTCAGCAGACCCCCATTTAGAAATGAGAAATGCATTCTACTAGAAAACACTCTATTGGTGGTGGGGTTGCCGGACCTGTCCATGTCGCCGGCAGGTTGGTTGTGGGTCTGGGCCCCAGGAGGAAGGGGACTGGCTCCTCGCTGCCATCACTTCTGGAGCCCTGATAAGCGACAACAATGAGACGCTGGCCTTTTTATGATTTGAAACCCAGTTTGTTGAGTTTCCCTGTTATCTAGGAGACGTGTCATGGAATGCATTTATACAATCTCTGTATTCCCAGTCAGGCTCAGTTTAAGTGTGGCTGGAGATTATTTCTCTGTTTTATTATTTCTGTAACAGCAGAGTTCCTCAGGGTGTGTTCCTCGATACAGTATGATTCTGCTGTTGATAGATGTTTATTTCCTGCTTGGGGGGGTGAGGGGAGGAGTGGGGATATCTGAAGCCCTTCTGGAATGCTCTTGTTTGCATATTGATTATTTGTCTTCTCTCAGAGCCTTATCACTAACCTTTGAGAAGGCAAATAATAGGAAACCTGCTTTTATTTTCAGCTTTGTCAGGAGCTGAGCTTTTTCTCACCTAGTTAATGGTACCAAAGGTTATATATCATATCATTTATATTTTTGAACTGGCACCAGAACGATAAGGGGGAGAAAATTCACAACTGTTCTGAAACAGATGCCAAGTGGAATTACTGCTCCATGGGAACACATTCCAAGACAGAGGTTTTTGTGAAGGAGCGGCATTCAGCACTGAAATGAACATGTTGTTGGAAAAATTAAAGGCTTTTGTTATTGGGGCTATTGTGACTACCTCAGATTCTAAAGTGTAGTCAAAGTAACTGCAATTTGAGTATATTTGAAATTATTAACACATTATTCTTATGATTGCAGAGATCTGAGTAGAAACATGATCCATGAAATTCACGACAGAGCTTTTGCCAAGCTTGGGTCAATAACTAACCTGTAAGTTGACAACTTTATGCAATACTATCAGGAAAGTCGTGAATAGTTTACAGAAACTTGTGTTTATTGACATGTCTGAATATTTTTCTGTTCAGTTGTTTCCTTGTATAAAGGCTAACTGCATGAATATAGTCCGAGCTTTTATGATGGCAAGATGCATGCTAGATTTCAATATTTAACACAACTCACTTTCCTCCTGGAACTCTAATGTCTATGATGTTAACACGTACAGATGTTTCATGTTAACACATACAGAAGTTTCTGTGTGATTTGCATCTTGGGAGTTGTGCATCTTGGGGATTAATTTGAAGTCTCATTCACATTTTAGAGACGTAAGTTTCAATGAATTAACGTCATTTCCTACGGAAGGCCTGAATGGGCTAAATCAACTGAAACTTGTGGGCAACTTCCAGCTGAAAGAAGCTTTGGCAGCAAAAGATTTTGTTAATCTCAGGTGTGGTTTTGCTTATTTTTTCCTTTTTGTTGATGGTGGGATAGACCCCTAAATGATAGAGTGTGCTAGCCTTTTTTTTTTTTTTTTTTTTTTTTTTTTTTAATTTAGTGGGGGTTTTTTTGCTGTGGGTCTCAGATTTTCTTGGAGGCTATAATTTAAGAGTATTTTCTACCTCAATCCTCACAGATTTGGTGTAAAATAGAACTTGAGCATAATTCCATAGTTTTTAAGAATATGAATTTGAGTCCTTGATGCTGTCAAAGATATAACAGAACTATTCATCAGAATGAATGGTTTTTTATATAGTGGATTTGACATTAGCAACAAGATGAAACCACCTAAGTGGGAGCCTATAGAAATTGATGCAATGCTATATAGCACTTTATGGAGACAAAGTATTAGAATGGTGACTTCATTAGATATAAAAGAGAGAGGGCGTGGGGTATTCTTTTGGGAGAGGAGAGTATATTTTTTCACTATAGTTACAAACAAAGTAAATTCATTTAATGGTAGAAATTCACAGATGACTTGAGACATTAATTTTAAATGAGACTACCAGTTTCATATGATACATTGGGTATCGTTACTTCATTTATAAAGGGAGTGTTACTGTAAAATTTTAAACATGACTTGGTTTAAATCCAGTTTGTAAAAGCATATCTTATGTAAATGAGAAGCTCATGTTATCACCTGATCCCAGAGCTCTTTTCACTCTGATGAGGAAACTGAGGCCTGGAAAGGATACTGAGCGGCTTAAAGAGAGTGGCAGTGAGGTCTTTCTGACTCCTAGGCTGGGGCTTTCAGTGACTAAAATACTTTTTACAAAACAAGCATGTCTGTGAAGCTGTTGTTCAATGCAGATTTCATAATTATTTTCCAGGTCATTATCTGTACCCTATGCTTATCAGTGCTGTGCATTTTGGGGTTGCGACTCTTACACCCATTCAAACACGGAAGATAAGAGCCTCCAAGAACACAGCGTGGCCAAGGATAAAGGCAAGTGCATGTACTTGGTAAAATAGGACACGGTTGATGGCATTGATCAGATCCGCTGTTACTGTAATCAGTTTGTGAAGGATCAGTAGGAAACCTGAGAAAAATTGCCTTTGCTGTGTTCCTGACATCTTTAATATGTTTTCAAGCCTCGTAACAAGCTGAGTGTATATCATGTAGGAGAGACGGGGTCGCAGGAAAGTGGCTCTTCTGAATCGCATAAAGCTTGAATTCAACACAACCGATGTTTTACCCGCAGGTCCCGCCGATGCCACAGGGGTCACTGTCAGTGCTGACAGTGAGGAGCACAGTCAGATAATTATCCACTGCACACCTTCAACAGGTAAGCCCAACTGAGCGTGCTGCAGTTTCTTGCTTTAAATAGACGTTAGGCAGCTGTACCTGAAACTTCTGGGGAAAAGTGTGATTTCGAACCCAGACCTTCCAATCCGCAGTCCAATGCTCTATCCACTGAGCCAAACCAGTTAAGGCTTGTTTTGTTTTGTTTTGTGTGTGTTGTTTTTTTTTTTTTTGTTTTAAATGCAACCTTTCCTTTTAATTGTCTTTTATGTCACTGAACTTAGAAGACTTGAGAAAGTTAATAAACTGACCATTGTGACTGTGATGTCATATTCTCCCTGTCAGAGAAGATGGATCTAGAATTTTACTGTAAAAGAAAAAATTGGCTAAGTGGCGTGCTGCGAAGTAGCTCCTTTCTTAGCATATTGACAACAGGTTGATCTGGACATTAATTTCATGACTCAGAATCATATAACATGATTCTCTAATTACCACTGAATTGTGAGTCTCTCGAGGTGCTGCACATGTGTCTTTTCATACTTAGCATAGAGAATAAGTATAAATAATAAGAACCCTTGTGTAGAGGATAAGCTTCAAGTGACCAGATGAGTGAATGAGGTTGGCAAGAACCATTTATATTTATGCAATTTGTCTAATTTCTGTATTGTTGGAAGTTGAAGGGTGCAGCTCCCTCACTTGCCCCCGTGGGGTTCTTGTGATGGAGACTGTATATCAGGAACTGACAACCCAATGAGAAGAGACCGGCTTCATTAAGGGGAGATGAGACCTGAGGTTCCATTTCCTCCATCCACACTGAATTTAAACATGGGGCCAACCAGGAAGACGAGAGGTCTGAGCTCACCTCCCCTGGCTGCAGGAGGGATGCATTGCAGGCCGGTCTTCCCTGACTCAGTTGTAGAACAGGGATACCTGTGTGCTCACTCAGAAGCCGAAGTAGAGGAGAGCAGGAACCTTCTGTTAGAACTGGAGGAGGCCACAGGTTTCCTGGAACAGAGACTGGGTGGGGTCTGCTTCCCAGGGAACTGAACTCCACCCACTAGTCAAACACTTGTCAAAGTGAGCCATTCTCCCAGGCCAGCTGAGCCATTCCTCCCCAAAGAAGGGTGGCTTCAGATACACAGATAAAAGTGAAAGCTTTCTGTTAGCACCTCCCTGAGGGGGAAATTTTAAAGATTAATTAATGAGAAACTAGTTTTAAACGTTTCTTGTGCTATTTGGAAGTCAGAATTAAATGGTGTAGACCTGGTTGGTTGGGTTTGTGACTATCTCAATGATTAAAATGCTTTATAGCGTGTATTAAACTTCATGACAGTTCAGGAAGATTCGTCAGAACTTGTCTTTCAGGCAGTTGTAGTACATCGTTTCCTTATGCTTGGTTAACAAAACTTTGTTTTTCGTTACTGATTTTTAAATAAAACAGTTCTCATTTGTGGCATAACCACCAGCATGTTAAAGTCAGTCACTAGAATGTACCATTTAGCTACTAAATTAGTTTTTGCAGTCCTACTTTAAGTTACACAGAATTTTATTGGATGTATAATACCTTTATATGAATATGTAACATCACCATGTTTCAGTCCTCCCTGCACTATCTTAACTCAATAATCTTTATGCAGATCAATGGAAAATTATGAAACCTCAGTTTCTTTAGATAAAAAATGGGGATAATTACACCCATGTTAATCTGCCTCATCAGATAGCCTTTGAAAGCCATAAAAAGTGTATAAAATATATGTATACATACATATATGATTATTATTACGTGTACTATGATAAGGAAGAAGAAAAGAATCTAATATTACTGAAGTCGAAATATATTGATATACCAGTAGCCTGTTTAGGTACCTATGTATGTAATATTAAGTTCCACAGCTTTATGAAATGGGCATTATTATCCACAAGTGGGAAAAGGAAATTTACAGATTTAAGTTGCTTCCTCAAGAAAAAGAGTAGCAAATTATGGATCCTAAATTCAAACCCTCGTTTATCCAAGTCCAAACTCTTAGTATATCAGGTACCTTGCATATGCTAGATATACAGTGCTATGCGTATTAACTTAGGTGTAAGAAAAAGTGAGAATTTTTTCTTTTAGATATCACTATATGAATTTACCAAATATTTAATAAAAAGTTGTGTTTTGTTTTTGTTTTTTTAAAAAGCACTGTTTGTTAGTGGACTATAATCCCCAGGGCCTTTGCAATCAGTTATTGGTGAGTAAATGAGTGAATAAATCCTTGGAGGTCAGATCAGGCAAATCTTTTTTCCTGTATCCTCACTTTTCCCCAAATCAGATCTTAAACTAATTTCAGCCTAAAGCCTGAGACTGGAGAGAGAAGTCACTACTCTATCCCCACCCTTACCCTGTGCTCAGGACCTCAGTAAATAAAGGAGTGAAAATAAAGGAGTGAAAATAAGAAAGGAAACTTCCCTGGAATTATGCTGACTGTAGCAGTGTAGAATGAAAGTAGTTATTTTTAAATAGTCCAGTGCAGTGACTAAAATATCTGAAATAGTGATCTTTTCAATTTGGTTCAATTCAGTTTGGTAGCAGATTTAATTATTCTAGAACTAGAGGCCTGATTCACAAATTCATGCACAGGTGGGGCCCCTAGGCCTGGCCAGTGATCAGGGCCAACCTGGGTCGTCTCCCTGAGTCCCAATCGGGGCCTGCTGGCCAGGGGGAGGGGAGAATGTACGACGGGGAAGGGACCATGGGAAGTTGGCCAACCAGCCCTGATCTGGGCAGCCAGCCAGGGGAGGGACCATGAGAGGTTGGCAGGCCGGTGGAAGGTGGAAGGGACCAGCTGGGAGGAGGGACCGTGGGAGGTTGGATGGCTGGGACCCTGGGAGGTTGGCCAGCTCCAGGGAGGGACTGAGGGAGTTTGGCCGGCCTCAGGATGTTGGCTGTGAAAGCGCACTGACCACCAGAGGGAAGCTCCTGCTTTGAGCATCTGCCCCCTGGTGGTCAGTGCGTGTCATAGCGACTGGTCAACTGGTTGTTCCAGTTGTTCTGGTCTTTCGGTTGTAATGGTCACTTAGGCTTAGATATAGATAGATAGGTAGGTAGATAGATAGATAGATAGATAGATAGATAGATAGATAGATGGATAGATAGATTATTTTTAGTGTCTTAAGCCATATCGTATGGAACATGTCGTTCCCTAACTTGTCTTTTCCCCCTTTGTTCATTGTAGGTGCTTTTAAGCCCTGTGAATATTTACTGGGAAGCTGGATGATCCGTCTCACCGTGTGGTTCATCTTCCTGGTCGCGTTGTTTTTCAACCTGCTGGTCATTTTAACCACGTTTGCGCCCTGCACCTCACTGCCTGCCTCCAAATTGTTCATAGGCCTGATTTCCGTGTCCAACTTGCTCATGGGAGCCTACACCGGCATCCTAACGTTCCTGGACGCCGTGTCCTGGGGCCGGTTTGCCGAGTTCGGCATCTGGTGGGAGATCGGCAGCGGCTGCAAACTAGCCGGCTTCCTCGCCGTGTTCTCCTCGGAGAGTGCCATCTTCCTGTTGATGCTCGCCGCCGTGGAGCGGAGCTTGTCTGCCAAGGAGATCCTGAAGAGCAGGAAAGGCAATCATCTCAGACAGTTTCGGGTGGCCGCCCTGCTGGCTTTCGCGGGGGCCGGCGTGGCGGGCTGCTTCCCCCTCTTCTTCCCCGGTGGCGAGTACTCGGCCTCCCCGCTGTGCCTGCCCTTCCCCACGGGGGAAGCGCCCTCCCTGGGCTTCACCGTGACCCTGGTGCTGCTCAACTCGCTCGCCTTCCTGCTGATGGCCGTCCTCTACACCAGGCTCTACTGCCACCTGGAGAAGGAGGACCTGGCCGAGGGCTCGCACTCGGGCGCCATCAAGCACGTGGCCTGGCTCATCTTCACCAACTGCATCTTCTTCTGCCCCGTGGCCTTCTTCTCCTTCGCGCCCCTTATCACCGCCACCACCGTCTCGGTCAGCCCCGAGATCATGAAGTCCGTCACGCTCATCTTCTTCCCGCTGCCCGCCTGCCTGAACCCGGTCCTGTACGTCTTCTTCAACCCGCGGTTCCGGGAGGACTGGAAGCTGCTGCGGCGGCACCTGGCCAGGAAGGGCGGCGCGGTGGCCGTGTCCATCGGCAGCGGCAGCGGCCAGGCAGGCTGCAGTGGGGACCAGGACTTCTACTACGACTGCAGCGGCGTGTACTCGCACCTGCAGGGCAACCTGGCCGTGTGCGACTGCTGCGAGGCCTTCCTCCTGACCAGGCCCGTGGCCTGCAAACACTTGATCAAGTCGCACAGCTGCCCTGCGCTGGCGGTGGGCTCGTGCCCGAGGCCCGACGGCTACTGGTCGGACGGTGGCACGCAGTCGGCCCATTCCGATTATGCAGACGAGGAAGATTCCTTTGTCTCGGACAGCTCCGACCAGGTGCAGGCCTGCGGACGGGCCTGCTTCTACCAGAGCCGAGGCTTCCCTTTGGTGCGCTATGCTTACAACCTGCCCAGAGTGAGAGACTGAGTCTCGGTGTGTTGGGGACTGTATCCTGCCCCACACCAGCCAAAATCGCAGTGTTTAGAGAGTGGACGGACATTACGTCTGATCTTTCCTCTGGGAAGCGCTTCTGTGACCACTGCCTGGTGTCCCTTAGGAGGAGGAGGAGAAGGAGGTGGCAGATGTCTTTTAAAGAACAAGTGCCTCAACCATCCCTGGGTGGAAAAAAAAAAAATCCAGCATCTGAGCGACGTGTGGTGTGTTTGGAACAACCCTGTCCCTTGGAAAGGTTTTCTGTAGAGCCTAGCATTCTGATTCGAGGTTTCTCTGAAGTTTGCCTAAGCGGCAAAAGGTTACCTGTTTCTGAAGTAAGCACAGGATAAAGAACAGCTGTTAATATATTTCTTAAGAATATTTTTTAAAACGTGGTTTCACACAACTGAAGAAAAAGCCTTGCTAATGTTACCCTAATGTTTGATCATTATTAATCTCAGGACAACGGACTTCAGGGCCAAAAAGGGGATCGTCTCCCAGGGGGGACTGTGAGGGTGAATGTAGGCCTTAGGTTGTTGCGTTTTCTGTTTCCACCTTGGACATAATGGAATCGTACATTTTCTTGGAGTGATTTGTAAATCTTAAAAACCGAAGATGTTTTTAAAACAATATTAACGACTATTAGATTTTAAAAGAAAGCATGAGCATTTGTTTTTAGCCGTTTTGACATGGCTTTGGCGCGACCAGTCATTATTTCCCCGAGTGTTTTGTCATCACACTACTATGAAAACTAAAGGGCTAATTGCGGTGTGGGTTTAGTAGGTTTGGCTAAACTGCTAACTAACATCGGAGTTTAATAGTAAGTAAGGGATCTGATGGCTCTGTGTAATGTTCCCATTAATGAACACTTCCTAGTATCATTGGCTTTACGGATGTTTTCCAGTTTTGTTGGTATGTTACCTACTTATATTTTGAATTATACAGAAAGAAAACTGTGGTAAGTAATTGCGTTTAATTGGAAGAAATTGGGAGTCATTATGATACAAAGCACTTACATTTATTTCTTAGCTGGATTCTCCTGAACTTATGCTGTTTCATGGACGTTTCCATAATTTCCCCCTAGAGTAAGTTACAAAAAGCCTGTGAAACAATAGTTCACAGCTTAGATATTGTGTTATTGTGAAACAGGACACATGTCATAGAAGAAGAAGAAGAAGGAGAAGAAGAAGAAGAGGAGGAGGAGGAGGAGGAGGAGGAGGAGGAGGAGGAGGAGGAAGGAGGGATAAAAATGAATAAAGTTTAGGCCCATGTCTTTAAAAATTAAAATTTTTATTTGATTCTCATCTATGGACTTTTGACATGTCACAATGTGGGGTCTTAAAGTTATAAATGATCAATATGTTTTTTGAACAATATGCTAAATCATTAGCAAACCCACTGCCATATTAGTTTTTCAGGATATACTAAAAACATTAAGCTAGATTGCAGTTTAATAATTAAACTGTATATACTGTGCATATAATGAATTTTTATCTTATGTAAATTATTTTTAGAACACAAGTTGGGAAATGTGGCTTCTGTTCATTTTGTTTAATTAAAGCTACCTCCTAAACTATAGTGGCTGCCAGTAGCAGAATGTTAAATTTTTTGCATTGTAAATAGTCTTGGTTGTACATTGTCCGTGTAATAAAAACAGAATCTTTGTATATCAAAATCATGTAATTTGTATAAAATGTGGGAGGGATTTATTTACAGTGTGTTGTAATTTTGTAAGGCCAACTATTCACAAGTTTTTAAAATTGCTGTCAAGTTTGTATATTTACACATTGATAAATATTAAATCATAACTTGGTAAAAAAAATTCTAGCTAAGAGTTTTTTTCTTCAAAATTCAAGTTAATGAACACTTTCACTGAATTCATTTAAAAATAGAATTCATTTAAGGTGCCTCGTTAGCGCAGTAGGCAGCGCGTCAGTCTCATAAAAATAGAATTCATTTAAAAATAGAATAGTAGGTAGGTATATAAAATTTATTGTAAATCATACTATCCATATGGTCATAAATACAATATTATAGGCAGCATTTTGAATTAGTGAGTTTCCAGAAAGCAATCTACTCTGTCTTAATAGATAATATTAATATAATAATGAATTTGCTTAATGTCCAGTTTCTTAGAAATAACTGTTCATAATCATCAAGCCCTCATGTGACAGATGAGAAAATACAGGGCTTAATAAATTTAAGTAAATACCTGAGTCACATAGCAAATTAGAACCCAAACCAGCACCCAGTTCCTCTTAATGTGAGACATAGGTTTTTGTGTGTATGTGTGTGTTTTTAAAATTGTGTATAGGTTTGGAATTTCCATAACAAAAAGTAGAATAGTATAATTATTCCTCCTCCCATCCCCTCATCCATCCCTCACTCCTCCTTCCAGTACTCGTCCAACTTAGGCAATTATCAACAGCACAAGGTAAATCTTGTTTCATTTTCATCCCATTCACTGACCCTTTCCAATCCCTTTGCCTTAGATTATTTTGAAGCAGATCTAACACATACTGTTTCACCTGGAAACATTTTAATATGTCTAGGCATACATTTTTTAAATTGTTTAAAGTATTACCTTTGTCTCCTCCCCACCCCCATCGGCCCCTCCCCAGCCAATCCCACCACCACCACCCCCCACCCCACTCCCGACTCCAGTGTTCGTGTCCATTGGTTATGCTTATATGCATGCATACAAGTCCTTTGGTTGATCTCTTACCTCCCTCCCTTTGCAATCTAGGGATACACTTTTTTTAAAGTTGCATAATATATTGCCACAGAGTTAAATGTTAATGACATTGTTTTTATACCAAGGAGAGATTTTTAGGCACAAATAACTGCACTTACAGGTTACAAAGCCAGCAAAAATAATCTTAACTATATCAGGAAAGTGAAAATAAATGAGCAGTAAGAAGCAAAGATACTAAGTCAATACCGTAAAATAGGAGAGGCCCTCTTTTGAGCTTATTTATACATTTATATATAGTTCTCCCAAACTTGATTATGGCTTCTGAATCCCAGTAATGAAAAGGCACTGTAAGAGAGGAGACCACAGGCCTCGATTATGTTCAAGCACCAGCACCATGCAGCTCTTTGCTTCATAGCTCCAGTGTTGCGACAGCATAATGTCATAGCTGGCCATTATGAGGCATTAAGAAAAGGGCATATTTTATTAAGTAAAAACATTTTAGGGAGGCACCGAAGGAAGTATATGGCCTTTTATATCACCATACCGAGAGGTTAAAGTGGAAAAACCTTGTGGTTTAAGCGATGTAATTTACCATCTACCATGTTCTCCGTCATGTCCTATGCTAGAAGCTTTGAGGATTAATGAGAAATAAGACTAGAAGGCAGGTTATTTCCTTGTTTTACAGAGGAGTAAGGACTTGGAAAGGCCAACCAGCCTATTTAAGGAAACCTGAAATCTAGTAAGAGGAAACCACTGATTCAAACCCAGGCCCCTTTCTTACTAAAACGTGTGTGTGCTTTTTCTTCTATGCTTCAGTTAGGTCAGATTATGACTTTTGCAAATCGCTTTTCAAATTTACCTCCTTCTGAAACCCCTAAGTTACTCCGGGGCCTTCTGATGCTCTTGCTGATTCTAGAGATGTTCTCATGAAAGATTTTAAACAAATATGCTGGTATTGACTAATTGGGGTAGAGAATGAAAACTCCACTAAGTTTTATTCCTTGATTAGTTTCATTACTCAATTAAGTTGCTACTATTTTCTTCCATTTGTATTGTTTTTACTGAATATTGAAGCAAAATTAGCACTCATTTAAACTGTTTAACATGGCATATTTTTATTAATTATAGCTTCTGCCTTCTGAATTGCCCCTTGGTTGCTATTATTTCTACCATATTTAATTATCCTTTGTCAAATGTTGCAGATTTAAATTTCATCAAAGATTTTGTACCACTTTTTAGTCAGTAAAAAATCTCGTGTGCTGTATTTACAAGTGTACAGTTTTGTCAGCATGGAAAAAAAAAGCATTCAGATATATTATCATCTCTCTCTTGCTTCTGCCATCCCCAATCCCTACGAGAATGCTCCTCCTGAGGTCCCACATTTTTTTCTTTCCTCATAAAACGCATTCCACATAAGATTGGTATGATTTTTTTCACAAGAGAATGAGGACCTTGTCCCTGTAGGATTTTTATTTTACTCATCCATCTATCCAGTGCCTCGCACAGATCCTAGCACACTAGAGGGTTCAAAGAGACTCCCACACTCACATGGATGGATAGGCAAAGGAGGTGCTAACCAAAAAAGTAAAACTAAATAAATAAAATTCCAAAAAAGTTATCCTAAATTGACCTCACTTGAACAGTTGGGTAAAGTTCGCCTCTTCTCCCCTCATAAAATAGGGCCGTGTACTGAAAGAAATCTTAACCGATGCTTATAATCGTTACATTGTAATGATATGGGGGTAATTCTGACTTTTGCCGCTTTCCCTTTAAAAGCATCTGTTTTGGGAAGTATTGATCAGACTGTGGGACCTCAGAGGGAAGGTAGAGGAGGGTGGGGATAAGGGGGAGAGATCAACCAAAGGACTTGAGTGTATACTTATGAGCCTAATCAGTGGTCACGGACAACAGGGGGGTGGGGGCATGCGTGGGGAGGGTTTTGGGATGGAAAGCGGGGAGAGGGGGACAATTATGTGATACCATAATCAATTAAAAAAACATAAAAAAAACACATCTGTCTTATTTAGCAGCAGCCTGTTTCCTGTAGAAAGTGACCTGCACCACCACAGCAGACAAGGGACAGGCCCTCCAAGTTGTCATGGGGACGCGATCTGTCCGCTAGCGGAAGCGCGTGGACCCGGCCGGCCGGCCGGGCGGAGGAAGGGCAGGCAGACCCGAGCCTCCCCCCCCCCCCCGCCCGAAACCGGAACGAAGCCGGCGCCGAGTCCACGCGTCGCCCAGGCAACGCGGGCCTGTGCCCGCCCTGATTGGCCAGGCTCGGCGCGCGCGGCGCCTGCTGGGAGAGCACGTCGCCGCCGCCGCTCCGCCGGTTTGAACGTGGCGGGCCCGATGTGGGCGGCGGGGCGGTGGGCGGCTGCTCGGCCCCCCTCGGACGCCTGGCTCCCGGCTGGCGGCAGCGCTCGGTCGCGGCCTTCCTCGGGCTCCGTGTCCGCGCTCGCGGCGGACGCCCGCGGGCAGGGGCGGGAGGCGGTGCGCTCGCCGTCCCCGCCGCCGAGCTACAGCAACTCCACCTGGTCGCTGCTGTCTCCGCTCGGCCACCGGAGCTTCGTGTTTGACGACGACGGGGACGCGGCGGATGAAGAAGAGGAAGAAGTGGACGAAGATGCCCGCGACTCGGAGGCCCAGGGGGCGAGCCCGGGCGGAATGCAGTTGCGGGGGCGCGCCAGGTAAAAGCGAGGCCGCCGGGCCGGTGCGGCCGCTCTCAGGATGCCCGAGGCCCCTCCGTGTCCCTGCTTCCTTTCTGCACACAGGCCTGGCCCATGCTTATGATGACCTCACGTTTTCTGTGATCCCTAATCCCTTTTCGGACCGAGAATACGATGATGGCTACAATCTCACTCCCCAGATACAAGTACATATCTCAAACGCACACAATGTTGCTACCATTTCAGGAATTATATGAATACTCAGAAATCTTATTGTGAGCGCCAGAACTCTTCTCCAAACTTTTTTTTAATTTTTATTTCAGAGAGAGAGAGAGATGAGAATCATTGTTTGGCTGCCTCCTACAAGCTCCACACTAGTGATCAAGCCGGCAACCTGGGCATGTGCCCTTGACCTGAATCTAACCGTGATCTGGTTCATAGCCCACTGAGGCACGCAGGCTGAGCATCTTGTCCAAACTCTTTAACACCAAAACGTGGTCCACTGCACCTTAGTAGTACCGGTAGTTATTTGGGAGAAAAAACACAAAACAAACCTGATTGCCAGTGAAGTAGACTGTCAGAAGCAGTATACGTTTTATATCACAAATGAGATGAAGCAGAGATAGTTTAATAATGTAAAACTCATTCAGAGACAACCTTGGGTCTGATCTGAGCACTGAACAGTGGAATAGAAGTCACTGAATCAAAGACTGTTAGAACCAAAGAGGTTATGAAAACCATCGTAATTTGTTTATTTCTACAATTATTCCTTTGGCAAATATTTAGTTTGTGTCACATATTAGTCTACATACTGGGGACTATAACCGAGATAAACATGGTCTCTACTCTCATGGAATTAAAGCCTAGACCAAGTCACTCATTTTACAGATAATAAAACTGTGGCTCAGAATACAAATAAAAAGTTTAATTCAAAGGCATACACCCAGTTATTAGCAGAGCTGGGTGGGCCTAGTGCCAAGCTATAGCAATTGGGTTCTCACTTTCCCAATTAGATGGCCTATTACTGGATATGTAGAAATAGGAACAAATCGCCCATTCCTATAGGAATGTGTTTTTCGGGGTCAGGGATAGCAATGCAGGTCCATTCTGGAGTAGGTTCATGATGTCATCTTCAGAAATCAGTTACAAGTTTCTGATTATGCATCAGTGTAAGGCATAGTAGTACAGGAGATCTAAGAAATATAGACCCGTGCTTTAAGTATAAGCATCAAGATAGTCTCCTACATATAAAACATTCCTAACTAGAGTGAGTGAAGGGAACATGGAACCATCTGAAGTGACTCTTATACACAGTTTTACAACAGTGAGACCCTCAAGAATGAGAAGCAAAAGTGAGTCCATCGGGGGGAATGGAGATCAGTAAGAGTAGCCATTAAGCCACTTGTTCAGACTGGTTGTAGACAAAAGAAGCAGGCCTGTGATCAACCTGATAGTAGAACTAATGGTAGAAGTAAACTGTTAAGGGGTCCATTTTCCTGCGGGTCTTTGTGGGGATTCTTCTGGACTGAGCTGGCTCCAAATATTTTTAAAATAAAGTTTAAGGCTATGGAAAATACTTTATCAGCTTAGTCAACAAGACAATGTAGACACAGTTTAGCCACCTAAGGCAGTGGTCTGCAAACTCATTAGTCAACAGAGCCAAATATCAACAGTACAACAGTTGAAATTTCTTTTTGAGAGCCAAATTTGTTAAACTTAAACTTCTAACGCCACTTCTTCAAAATAGACTCGCCCAGGCCATGGTATTTTGTGGAAGAGCCACACTCAAGGGGGCAAAGAGCTACATGTGGCTCACGAGCCGCAGTTTGCCGGCCATGGGCCTAAGGAATGCTGGCCTGTCCAAACCACAGCTCAGCTGCTGAGATCTTTCATTCGATTCCAAGATCCAAAGCCCTGACCAGAGGAGCTGGACAGATGTTTATCTCCTTAGCCAAAGCCGGAAATGAGCTAGTAGCAATCTAGAGCCAAGGCTGCCTTCCTTATCACAGTCCATTCCCTATAATTCAAAGGAATTGTAGATGCAGGAACTGTTTTCAAATGCTTCAGACAATGTAGCACCTCTCAGGAAGGATAAATGTTGAAAAAAATTTTTTTTTCTCGTTTCTTCTGCCTACTGCTAACCTTAAGTTGGTGCTCTGGACAGTTTGGGGCCGAATGGGATGAGGTGAGCAGCTATAGTTCTGGGTAATCTCTGTGACTAGGGCGTAAATGTAGAGTTGCCTTTTTTTCCATCCTTCACCTGCCACGGTGATCTGACTGGCAAAACTCACAGGGTAAGGCTTTTTTGAGCTAAACTCAGGCATCAGCTGCACATGATATATATGAACTCAAGGTATGTTAGGTGTAAATAGGGCCATGGTCAGAGGATGTGCTGTCCTTTCAGTGGACTGAGTGAAACGCACAGTTGACTTGGGCCTGCTGTTTAGTGAGCTTTATCCCTGGTTTTTAAATCACTATCCATTAGGAAATCCATGTCTTAATAAAGGTTTTGGTCATAAACAGCTCCTTATCAAGCCTTTCTTGATTATGGGGAGAGCTAAATTTTGAACATGTTTGTTAAAAATATTAAGGCAAAAAATTTAATATTTATAAGTGTCATTTTCAAAAAAAACACTGATCTCACTAATTTATTCTCTCAACAAACCTTTCTTAGGAGCCCTACTCTATTCTAGGCCCTAAGGTAGATTCTTGAAATAAAGAATGAGTTTAGACATGTCAGGAATTCATAGCCTATGGCAGAAATGGGCGATCAACAGAAAGCCCAAGGTGCTTAGTCCAGATTTTTTTGCAGAGTTTCACTGTAAGGCAGTAAATATAATGCCTGGGTTGAATCTGGAAGAGACAGTAGAAATTATCCATACTCTTGCTCCTCCTACTTCTAAATGACATGTACCAAATGTTTACTGCATGCTCAAACTGTACTCAGTGCTTTAGCATGGGCGGTCTCATCTAGTAGTAATGCAGGTAGCCACTGTTATCTCCATTTTACAGATGAAAATGGAGGCTTAAAGAGGTTACAAAATTACACTAGAAAGAAACAGGTAGAGATGCACCCCAAATGTTCTATTCCCATGTCTCAGCCCTTAACTTTGGCTGTAGGTGGAGGTGGAAGAAAGGAATTTCAGAGTTTTGGGCAAAGCTGCAAAGCACAAGAGCATGGCACATTCATCAGTCTCCCTAAGTTCAAACAAGATTGAAACGTAGAGTCTGGATCCGCCATTGGTGAAAGAAGAGGCTGGAAGATAGGGCCAATTCATGGGCATCGGGAGTTTGAATTTCATCTTGTGGGCAGAGGAGCCGCTGGAGGACTTTGTGATGGGGAGTGCCATGATAGAAGGATGCGTTTGAAGGACACGAATCTGGCAACAGTGTGGAGAATGATTATCAATGCAGAGAGAAAGACCAGTCATGTCCAGACAGTGGCTTGAGAAAATGGGAAGAATTGGAATAGACATAACTAGTGGTTATATGGTGTGGGTGGGTGGGAAGAGGAGTCAGATCTGGGTTCCTGCCTTGGCTACCTGGGGAGGTGGTGGTACCCTTCACTGAGGTAGGATTGTAAGAAAACGAGTATAATTTTTCTTGGTGAGGAAGGGTAGTGAGTACATGTTGAAAGAAGGTTAGACTTGTTTTGGGTTGATTGAGTTTGATAGTGAAGTGGAGCTGTCTATCAGATGGTTGGAAATAAAGGCCTGGAGCTCAGGAGAAAGACCTGGTCTGAAATAACTGGTTCGCACATAGAGATAGTTGAAACTGTGGGGACCAATGAGGTTGTTTTATAAGACTGAGAAGGAAAGGTACATAGAAGAAGTAAACAACACATCTGTGTCTCTTTTTCCCTCGAATATAAATTCCGTCCTATTGAGAAATAGCAGCAGAACAAAACAAGTAAGCTGAAGCTGTGAAGTAGAAAAGTTGTTCACTGCAGTGTGTTAGGCATTTGGTTGCCCTGAAGTAGGAATGAAGAGTTGAGTCTATAATCTAGTATCTAGAGCTGCCTTGGATTCTGAACAAACTTATTTTCTCTGGGTGCTGACCAGCTTTTCCTGTTTTAGGAAGCTTGTGTATTTGGCCAGAAGCCTGTGTTCTTTATTTAGTTGCTTACTTAGAGTTTTTACCCCCTCCTCTTTAGCTTGAGTAAGTAGTTATTTTTCCTCAAACCCAGAAAAGACAGTCTGGGAGAGGTACATGATAAGCTTGGTAAGAGGTAACCACACTATGGAGAGTCATACACACACCCTGTCTGAGAACTGGCAAAAGGGAGTCAACCAAAATGCTAAAAAAAAAAAAAAAAAAATACAATGGCCATATACTGTTATGTAATTTATTATTTAAAAACAATTTTATATTTAGAGAAAAAATTGAGCATTTACAGAATTTCTGTTCACCTGTTCTGTAAAAATTGAGCATTTACAGAATTTCATCATCCACCCATGATCCCTAATTATTAACACATTTGCTTTATATATACACCCATGCACGAATTTCATGCACTAGAGGCACAGTGCATGAAATTCGTGCATGGGTAGGGTCCCTAGGCCTGGGCAGTGATCAGGGCTGATCGGGTTCCCCACCTCCCTGCCTCCTCTCCTCCTCCTTCCCTAGCTCCCTCAGCACCCAGCCACTGCGGCTGGTCACCTGCCATGTTCTGCACCTCTCCCCTTGGTAGTCAGCACATGTCATAGAGAGCAATCAAACTCCTGATCTCCTGGTCAAATTCCTGAGGGGACACTTTGCATATTAGCCTTTTATTTATAGATAGATAAATAGATAGATAGATAGATGTATATAGATACAGATATATAGATAGTTTTTCTTAGATATTTAAGGGAGGCAAAGGGAAAAGTCTGCGCCAGTATCTAATTAGGATCATGTGTTGTAATTAGTTGTCTAGATATAAGATTTTAAGAAAAAGATATTGTCATTGAAGCAAATGTACTTGGTGTCTGTTAACACAATAGATTTTAAAAATAATGTAATTTTAGAAGATGAAGGCATTT